CAGAAGATATATAATAATCATACATCAACTTTCCTGTGTGTGTATGTACATATGCTGGTATGTATGTATGTGTGCACATCATGGCAGATATATGAAGACCAGATGTCAGCTTTCCAGAGTCTCTTTCCACCATGTGAGTTTTGGAGATCAAAGTGAGTAATCAGGCTTGGTAATCAGGCAAGTGCCCTGACCCACTGAGCTATCTCACTGTCCCACAGCAGTTACATTTTTCTTAAGATTAGATTGTTCACTTGAGTCTCTGTCTATATTATTTGTACTCATTTAAAATTTATGTCCAAGTATTTACTATTAGGTGATTTTAACAATACCGAATCTGTTCTTTTTTAGATACATGGTCTTGTAACCCCTCATGGTTCTTGGTAGTATACTGTCTGCATATAGAAGCCTTTCCCTCTGATCAGTTTTTAAGGTGGGCCAAGGCATATGGCTTCTGGGTTTTATGGCTTCTGATTTTTGAGTCTCTACAAACTGAATTTACCACAGAACTTCCCTAATTTTCAGCTCCTAGAAGTATGCCTTCCTATTTGAAGTCCTTAATTTTGGAGGTTTTTTTCCCCTTGTACATATTTTAAACTTTGTCCTGATTTCTCTATCAGTCTGAACCTAACCACCTTGCACTTTCTAGAAATTCTTTAAATACTTCCTATACTAGTGACATATTTTGTTGTCTTCTAGCACTGTTGGGAATTTAGCATTTAAGAGCTTTCTTGTCTCTTGTTTTAAGATGAGTTGAGGGAAAAAGAGGAAAACATACCAGGTCTGCAACCTTAGATCATATAGAAAGCACAGCATCTATATCATATGCACTCTGGCTTTCACAGACAATGGACTCCACTGCACTGCCTCTAACTGCATTCCTTTCACTTGTCACTTTAATGCACCCTTGTGGTTTATACATGTCTCCTCCATGCAGCAGCCTTGCTCCTTATTCAAGGTCCAGCTGTCTTTTACTTCACTGTGAGGGAGGTTATTTAAATGCTATAGTCTTTAACCTGTGTGGAGCCATCCAGCATATACTTGATAACAGTGCCCTGGCTGGTGACAACTCTTGATGCCTCCTGCTCCATGGGTGGCATCACTGCTTTATAGAATTCATAGTGCTTCAACCTCTGGGGGTAGCTCTGGCGGATCATGAGGTTCCAGGTGGTTTCTTCATCTATGATGGGATGATCTTAAAAAACAAAAGAGAATAAAGCTGTTGGTGGGATGAGTGGTGCTATGGGTCTGGGATTTTATCTTCTTCTGTTTTTGTTTGTTTGTTTTGTTTTTATTCTTTTGCCTGTGTTGGAGAACTAGGGAAGTTTGCTTTCATTTATGACTGATGGCCCAGCAAACTGCGTCTTTCATGACCTTTTTCACCCAAATGAAGTGAGTAAGGATATTTTAATAACATAATAAATATTGCTATTTATTATGAGCATTTGCATATTCTAGAGTCCAGAGCATGTCAAGGCCAAATGATCTGGGAACAGAATTTCAGTGTTTTAGTGACTCCATTTTCTCTCTTGGCGTGCCATTCTGCTCTTGCTCTGTGGTACACAATATTCTGGTACCCCCTGCTTGCTTTGAGCTTCAGGGAGCCTCTCATTCAAACCTTCTCTAACTTACCCATCATCCTTCACAATTAACACCCCCTCCATCTCTAATCATGGCTAGACAACTCTCATTGTTCTGCTGCTCCCTGGTAACCAAGAACAAAAGCACTCGAGAAATACCTTCCAAATAGCAAAGCACTATGGGATGGCTTTTCAATTTGATGCAATACCGTTTGTCAATTTTTATTTCTTGAGCTACAGCCAAGGCACAATGAGAGTTAAGAGACAATCTGCAGGATTTGGGGGAAGTCTTTCTGGTTGTTTATCTAACAGAGGCTCAATATCCAGATATATAGAAATAGCTAAAGAAGCAAATAGGACAACCAAATAGGCAAGCGAGCTGAGTAGATACTTTCCAAATGAAGAAAATACAATGGCCAGTTACAACATAATAAAAACTTTGTAACACCAGGAAAGTGCAAGTAAAAACTATACCCATCTTCCATCTTACCTCAACCAGATGGCTATCATCAAGAAAATGAAAAATGACACCATTAGATACAGGGTGGGGGGTGGGGAGAACCATTATTCACTGCTGAATGGACTCCAGTTTAATCTCAGATATAGCTTAATGTGCATCTTGGTCTCTTCATTCTCACTGCCCCTTGTTTAAATCAGTGATCAAAGTGCTATACCTGTGGCTCTCTGCAGAGGCAGAAAGACAGAGCCACATAAAAGCTATTAAGAAACCTGCATTTACCATCACCAGATCAAGAACGATTTCCCAACTCTGCCTTTTACCAGTCAGATGACCCTGAGCACATTGCTGTACCTCCAGAAGTCTCAGCATCTGTATTTTATAAGATGAAATTATCAGTACCTACTCTTGTAAGCTTTGTGTTTTTACATGTGTGTTAAGGACTATGACAGTAGCTCATCACAGCAAGTGCTTGAAAATGGTCATTATTGTTCTGCTCGTTACTTAAAAATTACCCACTGCTCATTATCAACAAGTACAACTGGTAAGTAAAGACACACTTTCAATGGTGGGATTTTCTGTGTTAGTTTTTGACCCATGATTCCTTGTCCACTCCAGTTAACACTCACCTGTAGATTCTTGCCCAATGAAGGTCAGCAGGAGCCCATTGGGGCAAGACACGTTTAGGTTTTGGAAGGTGGGTACATAAGGTGATTCCTGGATAACAATCTCTGGTTCTACTTCTTCCTGTACGTGATTCTGTGCATAAACAAATGCTTGTCATTCTCTAAATGAGACACACTTATTTTGATCAAGTAAAGATTTGTCAAACAATACAATTTGTGAGTAAGTAAGTAGACTCTGCAATAGTTTCTAAAAGGATTCAAGAATCTTCACTGCCCTGCTATTGAGCTTATATTTGCTGACTGGTACATAAACATGTGACAAGACACAGTATCAAACAGCACATTTTCCATGAGAAAAAATGCACCAAAGTTAACAGAGGTCACTGTGAATACATTTGTCGAGCAATTGAACTGGTTTGGAATTTGAGTGGTACCCCTATTTGTATATATGGAATGTGGGCAACACTATGGTACAGGTGTTGGTTTTCCCACTCCAGACTCAGATAGTGGAACTTGATACTTAACATGATGGTATTAAGTAGGCCTTTGGGGAACCGAGAATTCTGAGGGCTTGGCTTTCATGATTGAGATTCAGGCCTTTATAAAATGGCATCAAATGAAAAGAGTTTACTCTTTTTGTGATGTGATGGAACACAGAAGGTGCCGTCTATATAAACTTGCATGAGACATAGAGTTACCTAGAATCTGCTCTTGGACTTTCCAACCTCAACTTGACCAACTGACTTTTTTGTTGATTGGGATTCACATAGTCTAAGATATTTTGTGATAGTAGTTAAAGAAGATAAAGGCAGTGTTGGGGAAACCAGCAACTCTATTGATATGTGTGTATTCAATGTGTATGTGTGTGTGTGATGTGTGTGTGTGTGATGTATGTGTGATGTATGTGATGTGTGTGTGTGTGTGTGTGGTGTGTGCCCGTGTGATAATAATTAAGAAGAGGAAACCAGGAATTTGAGAGAGATTTTGGGAAGAGACTTTGGAGAATGTAGAGAAAGGAAAGAGAGTCAGAGAAACAGTGTAATTGCATTTTAATTGTAAAAAGTAACATGAGGTGAAAAGAAGGGAAACATACTGCCATGTTCACCTACTTTCTTCTCTTCTTCTTTTGGAAGTTCTTCTTCTTTAATGGAATCTCTGTGTTTTTCTTTGCCCTTCGGCTTAGCTTTCACTTTGCTTTGGGGAACAGTCACTACAGCGGGAACCACTGTTGCTGTCATAGCTGAAGGGATATTCAGCATTGCTTCCAAATCAGAATTTATAACCTCTAGAAGTAGGAAAAGGGGGAGAATGAAAAAAATTAAATATTCATATTTCATTTGGTTTTTAATTGATACAGCTCAAAAATTTGTTCAAGTGGGCATTAACTTTCACTATGTGAAACATGGTTTACCAGTTGCATATATTCTGGAGATAATGTAGTTGTTTTGGAAATCAGATTGTAGTTAGAAAATTTAAAATATTTACTATTTTAGTGTGGTTGATACAGTAATTATCTCAAGTCCTTTTCTCACATGTTCTTGCCTTCCAGTCTCTTGTGCACTCTACTAACTTTCTCTCTTTCTTTTAATTTGAGAAATGGAACTCGTAAAACATCCTGAAAGTCCTAGATTCACAACAAGACCTGCACTGAAAGTGGAACATGAAGATCCCTTAGACATGGGCCAATACAGACAAGGAAATCCAGCTAAGACAAACATTTTTGTCTAAGGTGAGATAAGTAGTTTGGTTGTAGGCAATCTATTGTCTTTTTGGTTTTAAAAGTTTGGAAACTCTAAAGGGCTGATGAGAGGAGATTCTGTGTGTGTGTGTGTGTGTGTGTGTGTGTGTGCTCGAGTGCTCATGTGTGCCCCTTTTATCTTGTCATCTGTTCTCCTGCAGGATCCAGCATACCACTTCTTTGACCTCTCCTTACCTTTCTGGTCAGTTGCCCCTCCCCACCTTATCAATCATTCATACATTTTAGTCTTGCAGATGCTTCCAGGTCTCAGGTTGCACTATGTTCTCAAGTTTGGCTGCCATAATAATTACTCAGGAATTTAAACGAATGCCCAAGTCTCCCTCTGACTTACTGAATCTGGTTTACAAGGGCAGAGGTCCAGATAGATACATGTATGCAACACTATATGTGACTGTTATATATAGTCTGGGCTGTATGTATATTCGATGTAACGATCTTACTCACAACTATGGCTTGAAATATCATTTGTGTGTAGACTCTACAATGGCCACAGTAGGCATGGTTTTTCCTTGTCAGTTCCAGATCCATATTTCTGCTTTTACACACCTCTTGATGTGGTTCTAGAGATATTTCAAACTTTTAAGAAACAGTGTTATAAAGATTCATGGCAATCTACAGCAAAGGAACTACATAGTCAGGAGGTAAGATGATCGCCACAATCTATTCTAGCACATAGTTTTAAAGCTATATGGCATATGGATTATCTATTGATTTTGCAATCTTTAAAAAAATGTCTACTGTAGTTGGATCCCTTTAAAGTTTGTGGGGATCCACAGATTTCTTAATTGGTTCTTGATAAAGCAGCATAGTATTTTGTGGTTTGAAAGGAAATAGCTTCCAATTGGAGAATTTATTTCTTGAAAGTGGAACCCAGAAATCCTCTAATATGTCCAATTAATGGCTCCTTTTAAACCAACGTCCTAACGTATAGCAAGTAGTTCCACTATCACAAGACTCATAAAAGTATTGTTCTGTAGAAACCTATGAGAACTCCTTGGAAGATCATGCTTTTCTTGCACGGAAGTATTACATACACATATACACATACACATACAGATATTTGCACATATATCCCGTACACCACATATCTCTATGTTGCAGAAAAAATATATAAGTGAATCATTAAATCAGAAGAGGTTTATTTGTTGATAAATGTACAAGCTGGGCAAGGGCGAAGACTGCCCATCATGGGACATTTATTCTGTTGTGTGTTTCTCACCTGGTGCCATTCCATTTGATCCATAATAACTTATGGAGAGGCAGATTCCATTTTCTAAGGTGGCAGAAAAGGATCCAAATTTGCTGACAGCTTCCTTCTCTATCTGTGTTCTTTCTAAAAGACAAAATCATATCAAGGATATGTCCATTTTTCTCCAGAACTGTAAGCAGAATTTGTGGGAATGCTGGGAATGGGGGGTCTTAGCCATTCTAATTCCATCACTTTAAGAATAATTGACGTGGCTCTGACCAAGGACACAGGGAAGTGAGGCAGAGTTCCAGGGATGGAACATGAGACTCTTGTTTAAAGGGCTTTAGGTCAAAATGAAAAGAGGATATAAACCAGTTAAAGGCTTGGCCATATGTGGTCATTGATCTGAGGGCATTCACATGACTTTTCAAATGAAAATCACCAAGTCATTCCAAGTTCCTTCCAATTTAAAAACACTTTATTAAATCCCACATTTATAATGCCTTATACTTTCAAACACAATTGAAAATGTTTTAAGTTTTAAAAGGAAATGTGTTAAAATGCACATTTGTGGGGCACGTGTGAAGGGTCTCAAGGTCTTTCCTGTTCTCTCATTTCCATGTTATTATCCGCCCCATCATCATATAATAAAAATGGGACAGAGTCAGCTTAAAATACTCTAACCTATGAACAGGTTATTTCCTGACTGGGAATTTTTGAATGCTCAGTGGGACATCAACAAAAAAGGATAATGCTTCATGAGAAAGAAAGCAATTCACAATCTGGGAGTAAATGTTCGCTTAAGACACTCTGACAAAGGGTTGTTACGTAAAATGTATGAGGACTCTTAAGGTCCGCTAATAAGACAACAAGCCAAGGAAGAAACAGCCCAAAGGCCCTCTACAGAACTTAACCAAAGAAGATATGCAGATAAAAAAATAAGCCTATGAGAAGCAGTTTGATGCTCTATGTCACCAGGGAAATGCAGATAAAAACAATGAGTGAAACGAGGCACCTGTCAGAATGGAGGAAACCCAAAGCACGGGCGACACCGAAGGCTGGGGCCATCGGGACAACAGAGCTCTCATTCACTGCTGAAAGGCAGTTTCCTGCTGCTTACAATACTCTCCATAGTACCATATGACCCAGTCACCATGCTCCTTGCTATTCACTCATAGTACATAAGAGTGTATACTCACAAAACCCTGTGTGCTTTCATCCTTATTTAGCCAAACTTGGAGACAAGCAAGATGTCCTTCAGTCGAAGAGTGGATAAATTGGCCTACCCTGATAACCATATACTATTTAGTGAGAAATGGTCTGGGAACATAGGAATATAGCTCAGAAAACAGAGCATTTTCTAGCACACTTGAGGCCCTAGGTTCAGTCCCTAGTGAGATACACACCACACACACACACACACCCAGTCACATACACAGGTACACACATAAGCACATGGACATGCAGACACATACACACACACATACAGACACACACACAGACACACACACACACACACAAGCATACACTCAACGCATGCACAGGAAGAATGCAAAGACCAGAGAACTATTAGATCCTGAAAAGGCATTATGGAAATTTGATTGTGTAGTATCAAGCAAAAAAAAAAAAAAAAAAAACAACTAGAACATATGTTCAGTAAAATGTAAATTATGGAAAATACAAATACTTGGGTTTTTAACTGCTTAAAGATGTTTTACAAAGCACTTTCTGTGATTTAAAAACACGTTTCCCCATCTTAACCTTGTTCAGTATCCAGGAGATGGGATGGAAGGGAGGACAGTAACGGTTTTCTCGATTAAGATGTTAAGCAATTGGGAGGCAAAATATTGCAAACTGTGGGTGACAGGGTCGGGGGGTGCAATGGGAGGGGGCAAATAAAGCGAGGTGTGCTAAAACCTTTAATGAAGAACTGAAGTCTTGCCCTCAAGCAGCAGTGGCACCTCCTTCTCAGCCCACAGGAGTGCATATCAGACCTCAGACTCTAACCTAGAAGCTGTGAGACAGCAACTGCAACAGCAGGTAGCTCCCAGCAGAGAAAAGCTTGGCAGGATAAGTCCCATAACCAAACTAGATTCAGAGAGATGGAGCCTTCAGGGTGCATGCTCCCTCAGGTCTCATTGTAGTGGACTGAGTCAATAAAGCTAAACAAATCACAACAGAAACCACCATCAGGACGGGCAAGAGGAGCAGAGCCCTGCGGGCTGCAAGCATTATTTGCTTCTCTGTCAGCTCATCTGCCGCAGCTGCTTACATCAGAGAGCAACGCAGTGTTTCTGAAAATGGCCAGAGAGTAAGTACTTTAGGACATGTGGGCCATGTAAAGTCTTTCTCGCATACTCTCAGCTTTTCTATAGAACAATGCTTTACAAACGTCAAATCTATTCTTAGTTCACGGATCATCCAGAACCAGATCATGGTTCAAGTCTGGGCCAGTGCTTGCAGGCTGGAGAAAGCTATGGATGATGTAAACAAAAGATAATCTGAACAGGGTCATTAGTGACGAAGCTAAACACCAACCATTATTTAACTATGTGGAAAGGACATTATTAAATTATGTATATAGATTTATTTATTAACTTTTGTAGGAATCATATAAATACATAAAAACATTAAGATGACAAACCATGATATACGTGTATATTAATGATATATCATTAAATATATCATAAATATAATTTTAGAATCTTGTTTTTCAAAGGATATTTAGTGAATGTGAAAATGCTTATATTGATATAATCAGAAAGAAATAAATTTGGAACAGTGAGTAACATGGAGGCTATAACTATTAGCTTCTTTAAATACTTCGAATAATGTGGTTCTTTAAGTATTTAGAGTTATACATACACACACAGATACACACATATAAAGGGTGTGTATTGTGTAGGCATGTGTGTGTGTGGATGTGGACACCTGTGCAGGAACTCAGCCATGCATCTGTGGAGGCCAGAGGTGGCTCTCAGGTGCCATCCTCTGTTGCTCTCTGCTCTGTCCTTTGAGACTGTGTCTCTCACTGATTAGGTTAGACTGGTTGGCCGTTGAGCGATGGGATCCTGTCATGTCCACTGCCCAGTGCTGGATTACAGGTGTGTACCAAAGCACTTGACCTTTTCTGTGGATGCCAGGGTCCTGAACTTGAGTCCTCATGATTGCACAGCCAACGCTTTACCAACTAAGCCTTTTCCTCAGCCCCAATTAATATTTTTGTATTAGCTGAACAAAGAAAATTAATTAAAAGTAACATTTTTATGTGCCACCTTCCTAGGTACATTGAACTTGTCAAGCACTGTGTTCTCAACTGTGGAAAGTATCAATACCGAGAGCTCCTGTCGGGTGGCAGCAAGATCCAGTTAGCAGCCAAAGTGCAGATGAGCCTGCTAGCAGCCAAAGTGCAGCTGAGCCTGCTAGCAGCCAAAGTGCAGATGAGCCTGCGTGCGGCATCTATGCTCCTGTGTTGGGGAAGATGAACGTAAGCAGACAGGAACTGCTCCAAGCCACACCTGTAAAATCCTCATGTGTTGAGTGCAAGGGATGCCTGTGTGCTTCTGTCTGGGGCTGGGCTGGCACACTGCACTGCTTACCTACCAGAACCCAGCACCACGGAGGCAAAGACACTCACTCATTTCCACTTTTTGTTTTACATTTTCCTCTTCCCCCTCCTTATGCTCCTTCTCCTCCTCTTCCTCCTCTTCCTCCTCTTCCTCTTCTGCGTGCTCCTCCTCCTTTTCCTTTTTCACGATTTCCTTTGGGTCTTTCAGGTGAATTATAAAATTGTGTTTATCTTTTTTTACTTTCACTTTGATGAATGTTGGGCCTGAGGAAGAACCAAAGGATAGAAAGTGGGATGATTTGAAGGCACCACACACACACCCTGACAAAACGCTGGTAGAATGCAGGACAGAATCAGACAGCAGCTGCCTCAGCAACTCTATATAAGAACACCACAAAGAGCATGCCCAAGGAGGTTTTCGCAGGCCTTCTTGTCACATCCTAAACCAAATCACAAAGACAAAATACATCCTCTGAAGTGATAAACACTTACACTCCAATAAATCAAATGAGCTAATCAACATGCAAAGTTTTAACACTATTTGTATACAATAATATATAATGCATATAATTATGTGTGTGTGTGTGTGTGTATCTCAGAACAGCCTCAAATTCATGTTTCTCCTGCTTTAGCCTCTTGTGTGCTGATGTTTCAAATGTGAATTACCATACTTGACGTCTATGGCAATATAATGACAGTCATAATTTTGTATATATATATATACACATATATATATATGTATATATATATACACATATATATATGTATACATATATATATGTAAAGTGTGTGCAATTACTATCACTATGCAGGTTATATAAGCAGTTTTCTATTAACTTATTCTCTCTTAACAGTGTTCTGATTCCCCCACTTCTCTTTTATCTCCCTTTTAAATCCAGCCTTTCATTTTCAACTATGGTGGTAGTGTCTCTCAAAATTGATAGGATTAAGATGAAAATACTGCATTTTCTACGAACCATCTGAACTTTATGTAAACTGTTCACATATGCAAGTCTTGGTAAGAGCTAGCATACCAGCAGCAGAGGTCCCTGAGCACCGTATTGTGGAGCCCAAGCCAGAACCACACTATAAACTCAAAGCATATGTTTGCTTTCTGACATGACAGTGTGTTGTAATCAGTAGTACTTGATTAACTATTTGCTTATTACAGTTGCTAATATACCATTGATTGATAATATAGACGTATTTAAATATTTTCAACAATTTAGGATGCTCCTATCAACAGTGTCTGAGTAAATTCTGAGTTGGCTGATCCCTTGTAAACTCAATTACAATAGAAGCACGTGACCCTGAGAATGCAATGTTGTGTAAAGATGGGCACAGTGAGTTGCTACCCACTACACTCAGAGGCACAATGCCCCACGATGGTCAGAAATGTACTAACATCCTCCCAAGACATTAACAGCTCTTGCTAATGTACCTCGTTCAAACCTGGTCTTTTCCACTTCAATCTGCCCACCGTCAGAAGGATACAGGTAGTAGTTTGTCCCTGAGATTTGGATAGGTATGTCTCCCATATTATATCCTCGGAACTAGAAGAAAATACATTATCATTGGGTGTGGAACTGCAATCAACAACAATCAGCTCACTATAGTTAGCCAACTACAGTTTCCATAAACTTATTTTTGTTGTTGTTGTTGTTGTTGAAACAATTATTTCTGCTACCTTGTAGACCCAGAAATCCAAATCGCATGTTATTATTAATTTTCATGATTACTAGAGACAGGCTTTTATTCAGTAGCTGAGACTGATCTTTTATTCAGTAGCTGATTGATCTTCATGGTCATCCTGCTTCAGTGTCTAGGAGGCTGGGATCACAGTTGTATGCCACGATGTCCACTTACGAGCATTTATAATCTAGTCTAGATGAAATCATGCTCCACCATCAAGATAACAGAAAGCAAGACCCAGTTTGCTAATAGTCTTTGTAAAGTGAAGTGAAAAATTGACATTTGACATGTTACAAGGCTGTATGTAAAGGATATTTTTAAACATCAGATATTGCTATTGTAGCTGCAGGGAATTCAGGCGCATCCTAAAACCCTAGAGGAACGGGACTGGAGTCATAGCTGCAAAGAATAGAACAGAACATTTCTCTTCATTTTTTTTCCTCACAGGTTTTTCTAATAAATAGACATCTGAGAGCAAAATAGGAAAGCTATTAACTAAAGCATGTAAACCAGAAACATGGCTCTCTACACAGAGGCATCTAAGTACATGCAGCAAGTCGAACCCATTGAGCAGACCTATGCTGTTGCTTATTGGCATGTTTTAATACTTAAAGCGTTTTAAGTCTTTGGGTCACACTTCCATCTTTATAGCTCTTGATAATCTAGTTTCATGATAGGAAAAACAAGCCTGAGGGTATTCCCATTTGGGTGATTAGCTATGAAGAAGAATCTAGACAGAAAGAGAAATTCAAGTCTAGTTCAAAGATGGCAGGAAAACAAACAAACAAACAAACAAACAAACATCAAACCCCTGTTTCCCTAAAACTGTTAGAAGTAGCCTAAACAAAGAATTTTCAAAGTTGGTTTACCGGATAAACGACTTCTGGTTCTGGAAGCGGGACGGCTTCCTCTATTACTTCCAGCGTCTTTACTGGCTCTTCCTTAGGCTTCTCCTTGGAAGAAGACTTTTTCTTTAAAGCCTTAGCATCGTCTTTGTCTGCCTTATCCTTGCCTTTCTTTTTCCCTGCTTCCTTCCCCTTCTTCTCTGCTTTCTTTTCCTCCTTCAGGCGTTCCTCCTCAGCCAACCTCTCTTGTTCTTCCTTCCATGCCTGGGGACACATCAAACAGCTTAGCGGGGATTTTGAGAAAGATCAAATGTGAATTATATTTGGGTTAATTTTGGAGGAAATTTAGTATGGTGTTTCTATGTGTTGTCTCTGGTATTTTGAAACACTGGGCCAAAAACCTTGTTCCCTTCTCACTTCTCAGTTCTGTATGTCACCACTGAGGGCCTCCTTGGAGAACACGATTCATTTCAGCTTCTCCAACTTTCTACCAGGTAATGTAAATGGTTCAGACCTTTGTTGTCTTTAGCCACAGTAGCAGCCTCTCCAGTGGCCTGTCTCCTTTCCTTCCATTCTCAGTTTACATCCTGAATATGCTTAGTTGGCAAAAAGGTAGACTACCCAGAGAAGCATTCCCAGTGCTATTCCAAAAAGGGTGACAAAACTTTTTTTTTTTTAATCATGAGTTTCCAAGAATTTTGGTACTTGCAGGCTGAGGCAGAGGAACTAAGTCAGGGTGGGTCTATAGTCTCAGAAGAAGCTCTGACTTGATATTAGCTCACAAACAAAAACCACAAAATATGGGCAACTAAGCTACTTTGAATAAAAATCTGAACCAAGACTTTGAAAGTATATCTGTGAGGATTGCAGATAAGGGACTTATGAAGTAAGAATCATAGAAGAAGTTTCTGGTTGCTTGAATACAGAGAATGAACTATTACACGTGTATGTAAGGGGTATATAAAAATGACAGGCTGAGCTTGACAGTCCTCTCAGAATTACAGTACAACTTTTGAAAAGGCAGCATTTGGACAGATACTGGCTGAGTCATTTCTAGAGTCAATGATAGACACTGATCCCAGCATTCAGAAAGGTCAACAAATCTAAGCATGAAGTAACAGTGGTGTGGTGAGCCTGGCTCCTGTTGATTTAAGGAGATTACTGATAATTTTGGGGGAGGGAATTTTATGTGATAGTTGCTAAATAAAGTCATCATCAAAAAAGACTAAGTACAAAAAAAAAGACTAAATGTAACTAAGTACAATGTTTAAAACATTGCTAACACGTGATCAAAATGTACTCATTTATACTTCTTGTATTAGATTTCATGATTATCTGTGCTGTACACGAGAAACATACTATACAATGGTACACAGACCCATGCTGTTCCCAGCTCAGGTTTTTACAGTCTCACACTGGCAGCTTGAACTCTGCCTTTGCTGGAATATTTACACAACAAACATTTGCCAATGTCTAGTACTACTGATTAACTGCGCTTAAAAAAAAAAAAGCAGCAATGGGCAGAAAGTTAGAAATAACGATTTAGCTCAAGTGCCTGTAACTCACTGCACTGTGAGGAAAAGGAGAAACGATCCTCTCAGCATCCAAGTTCTCCTTCTTGACTCAACTTAATTACTCTTGCTATTGATGAATGAATGGTACACCCTTTTGTAATTTTGCTTTTTCTCTCATTAACATAAATGAAAATATTGATCACTACGAGTAGTAGAATTATACTTGTTTGTCAATTGAAACCAAAGGACACAATAACGTACCAAAGATCAGTGAAAGCGTATGGAAGCATTAATTTGCTAAGTGGACTTTGCAATGAAGATTACTGTAAGATTTGTTGTCATTTACAGATTATATACTATGTTTACCATCCATAACATTTGCTGCAAGGTTATTTGTGTACCTATGTGCATACTTTCATTTTTCCAGTGAGCATCTGCTAAATGCTTACCAGATGACCACAGAATGTTTTCAAAGCAGCTAAAGAGAAAAGATAAACTGTCTACAAATAATGTAAAATGTGACAATTTATTAACGTCTATGATGTCAGCAGAGAAGAAGGAGATTGATGTCTTGAGAGTCCTATGAGGAAATGAGAAACCCAACCAAAAATTGTATAAATAAAAAAAAAACGATGCTTAACAAATAGGGGTAAAATAAAGTCATTTTCAGATAAGTAACAACTGACTTTAATAGAAACTGTAATATTATGATATAATAAGAACCAGATATTTGGTCTTCATTCCTGGGTCCTGGCATAGAGCTCTCAAATCCCCTGGAATTCTGTGAGTGATAGGACTGTCTTTTGTTCTAATGAGGCAACTCTTGGCAAACCCTTAGATGGTTTCAGAATGGGGTAGAAGCTGCTCACCAGAAAGATCAAACCCAGGTTAGAAGCTGGGAACTTTCAGAGTCTTCCCCTTCCCCTCCCCTCAACCTTCAAGGATGAGAGAGGCGCTGCAGATGGATTTAATAATTGATTGTACTTGGATAATGAAAAAATCTATAAAAGCTCCTAAACCACACAGTTTGGAGAGGTTCTGCCTCAGTGAATGAATCCACAGGGTGACACTCAAGGATAGAGGGTGGCCCAAACCCGAGCAAACCTACATTTACCCATGAACATGCAAACAGAACACCTCTGTACGTTTCTGCATGCGGACTTATGTGAATTGGAACCTATCAAACTTTGACATTCTTTTATTCCAGGAGCTGCAGGGATAGTGCAGGAAAAGAATCTTGAATGATCACAGAAGCACTTACTACTTTTATAATTAAAAGTTCAAATAAAAATGTGAAAGAAATTCAAACATTTTCAACAAAGGTAAAGAGTAAACTATCATGAGCCAGTCACTGCCCTGGGGTGTGGTTATGCAAAAATAATAAGATATAAATTCTCCCAAAGACTTGTCACATGGCAGAGCTATGAGGGCATAGGGTGAGGCTTCAGTCAACTCTGAGGTTTTAGCTAAAAAAGAAAAAAAAGATCATGTCCCATAACTAGCACACACTCAGTCACAAAGTAATTTTGGCCTTGTGATTGATCTGTGACATTTGTCTTGTATTACCTTGAGAGAGCCTTCTAATATGAAGGGCATCTTGTCTTTTTCTTTCTCTTTCTCCTTTTCTTGGTCTGATAGCTCTGTTTTGCTGGATACTTTGTTACCTATAAGTGAAGGCAATCAAACAATTTCGCAATCACAGGAGGACCAAGCCTCTGGGCTGGAGGCAACCTCAAAGGCTCTCAGGTTCAACTCCTTGTTTAAATCTCTAAACGCTCCCTTGCCATCTCCACAGCTATACCTGAGTGGTGCTGAGCTTTCGGTGATGGTGTCTTACAACACATTTACACTGTGTTGACATATCTTTTGAATCCTTCTCCCTGAAATTTTCAGCTAATTAATCTAACTTTAGCACCTCAGAACCACAGGAACTCACCTAATTCCCCATCCCATAATAAGATCCCTCTCTTGCTATTGCTGTCTTTCTGTCTTTCAAACATTCTGTCATCTTTTCTGACAGGAATAGACTTGGTTCAATACATGCCAGGTACAATCCACACTGAAATAACCACTTTATATCCTAGATATTGAGGTTTTGGTTTGCTCAGTAGCATATACCCAAAAGGTGGTGACCATTTCCCCTACCAGTAGGTAAGTTTGCAGTTAGCCTTTCTTTCCTCTCTCATGTTGTTCCCCTCTCATTACTCTAAACATTTAGTGAAGCCTTGTTGGGCTCGCATAGGAGGAAGCTCAGCTACTGATAATCTAACAGTTTCTCTGGATACCAAAGGATTCCTTATTAGAGTGGTTTATGTTTTGCTTTAGACTCAGGTCATATACAAACTACTCTAGTAACAAAAAGAAGCTGTGGTTTTTTAGAAGTTTCATGGCTTCATCTTACTATGAGATGTTACTTTCACCTTTAGCTATCATAAGTAATAGTGCTAGCAAAAAGAGATGCTTTTCTACGGACTGTGAAATGTCTATACTTTCTAGATGAACTCTACATTTCACTTCTTTATTATCGTCCTTAAAAATGGCCTTGCTCTTTGTTACCCTCTTTTCTCCTCCCTAATGTGCCCAAAGTTCTAGAAATTAGCCAAGACCTAGAGATGAACAAATCAGAGATGTATACTTATCCAAGATCTGGTCACGTCCATGCCATAGGCCTCTGGCAAACGTTTATCACGTCCCCCTAGATTCCTACTTCCAGGAGGTCTTTAGATACTTACTTGTAGCTAGAAGAAGATTCTTGATTTAGTCTTGCTGTTGGAATCTACATTTATCCTCTTGAGACCCGCTAACTCTGACTTTCCCTCCCACACTGCTAATAAATTTTGATGTAACCCATGGATTCTATCAGCAAGAACATTGGCATTTTCCCAACTCATCATATTTAATCTGTATAACAGACTAAATCTTTCAGAGCTCATAGGAGATGGGACAGTGACAAACATTCCTGTGTCTGACTCAGGTACAATGTTATCACATTTTGAATGCAGCTGTTCCATTTATTAGAGAAAGTGAAGACTCACAGGCATTTGGGGACAGCCTTTTAATTTTGGACTATTTGGGTTTGAAATTAAAATAGGAGAATGCCTATTGCTCTATGAATAAATGCACTAACTACTTACTTTTAGATTTTTTAGGGACAGCAAGTTTGCTAGCAGAAGTTTTGGCAGTAGTAGCTTTCAACTCCGACTCAATCTTGGTCCTGTTGAGCTCCTCAGCCATTTTGGCTTCCTGGTACTTCGCTTCTTCCTGTGTGACCCAGTCTTCAATAGATTTCGCAACAAGTTCTAAGTAATTCCTAAATGAGACAAAGATAAAAGGATGGGAGGTGAGAGGCCTTACTACAGCCCATGAGAACACTGGGTGCAGGCAGTGTGAACAAACTCTTTAAAAATGCAATGATTCTGAGCTGCCCAAGGGGCAAAGAGGCAAAGAGGTCAGGTACAGATCTTGGCTGAGTGTTGGAAAAATGCCCACTTCTCTTCACAGTTAAAGAAGTTAAGCTTAACAGTGAGGTCTTTACATTCAAGTTAAGGATTAAAGAAAAATTGGAAAGGTTTGCTTTTTAATTTATGTGTATGTATGGGCCTGTATGCACATGGTGCAGAAGAGAACATTAGATCCTCTGGAACTGGAGTTACAGCTGGTTGGGTGCCTCCTGACATGGGTTCTGGGAACCTTCGTCTAGAAAGGCAGTGGGAGCTCTTAACTGCTCAGCCCTCTCTGGATTAACATCAAGAGAGTCAGTGGCAGTTGAGTTGAAGAAACAGTCACTGTCAGTGCCGATTATTGGGATGTGACATAGTACAATCAATATCTTTTCAGTGTAAGATTACAGCACGTTAGAAATCCTTTCCATTAGTCCAAAGCGATTCCAGTTACTTCATTAGACAAAACCCTCTTGTCCTGCTATAGTGCTTATTGGCTTTGGGAGCATCTACCGTATAAATCCAATTCCTTAAGCTGCTCACAATTTGTGCTCCTCCCAGAAGTTGTTGCTTACTAAGAATGACCCATTGGTGCTTGCAAATCTGTTTCGATCATTTGTACTGCTCAGTGTGTTTTTTAAGTGAAATGTTAATAAGCCTATATGGATATCTGAAGAGTTCTCTTCTGAAAGGAAATTAATGGACACATTTAGACTTGAGAAATACTAGTTTGTAAAAATGAAATAAGTGAGGTTTAATATTTGAAAAAAATAAAGCTAGATGAATGGTATATTGAAGATGCATTGTAACTTGAACTACTGTTTCTTCTTCTCCATCTCCTTCTTTCTCCTCCTCCTCTTCCTCCTCTTCCTCCTCCTGCTGCTCCTCCTCCTCCTCCTCCTCCTCCTCCTCCTCCTCCTCCTCCTCTTCTTCTTCTCTCTCTCTCTCTCTCTCTCTCTCTCTCTCTCTCTCTCTCTTTCTCTCTCTCTCTGTAGAAGTGTGTGTGTTTATGCTATGACACACATGTGGAAGTTAGAGACAAATGGTAGAAAACTGTTCTCTTCTTTTCTCACATGAGTCCTGGGGAATCAAATCATCAGAGTTGATGACAATTGCTTTTACCTACTTTGTATACCTTTGATTCTTTCTGAAGATATACAATAAATAGTAGATTATTAGTTATAGTATTTGATACCTTCCTTTAGAAGGTACTAGACATCTCCAATTCTGAGTCACCAAGAAATGCTTCACATTCTACCAAGGTTGTCACATCAAAGCTGGTATTATAGCCGATGACACTGCCAGTTAAATAAGTAAGCATCATGAAATGATTGTTATTTTTTTATATTCTTCCAATCTTTAATTTTTTTAGTAAATTAAAAATCACCTAGAAAGATTATAATAACTTCAGAATCCACTCTTTCCCTTTTGTTTGTCACTGCCCCATTCTAACTCACTCATTTCTTCTTAAGATTGCTGCAACAGCCTCTAACTAGTCTCATGGTATGTGTGTGTGTGTATGTGTGAGTTTGAGTGTGTGTGTGTGTATGTGTATGTGTGTGTGTGTAGGAGGTTGTACCCTCAGACATCTAAAACTTATTCTCAAATCAGCAAATAGACTGGGCCTTTTAATTTGTAAGTTAGATAATTTTCTCATCCTTAGTGCCTTTCAACGAATATTTCAAATGAAGAAGTGGAATTCCTGAGGGCTGAGGAGATGGCTCAGTTGGTAAAGTACATGCTCTACAAGCCTGAGGGCCTGAACTCCTGCAGAAAAGCCAGGGGTGGTGGCAGAGCCGCTTAGAATCCCAGTTTAGAGAGATGTACTTGTAATCCCAGAGGGGTGGGGAAAATTGATCGCTGGCTTTCCCACAGTGTGTGCAAAACAGTGAGACAGGGTCAAATAACAAAAAAACCAAATGGATGGTACCTGAGGAGGGAGTCTAAGGAATGATATCCCTGTTTGACACCTGGCTTCCACATGCACAGCCATACAGATGCATGTATACCTGCATACTATCCCCGCATGTGCATTCAGATGAACACACACACTCATAATTAAATAAACAAACAAAGAAACAAACCAGGATTCTCACAAATGTCCCCAAACAAGGAGATCTAGGCTCAAATAAAGACAGATTTGTATTTAAGTGAGGATAAGCATCCCGTGCTCCAGAACTTTATTACCCATAGATACTTAGTGAATTAATTTCTTCCAAATGCATTCTGGTTATATTTTTTAAAACTAGAGACACCAGCATTGGATATAGATACAAGCATTATGACAATTTAACATATGGTTTAAAATACAAACACAAAGAGCTGTGCTTCTTTTGATTAAAAACTGTCACTTTATAGGTGGAAATAACCTTTCTAGATAATTTCAAAATGGGATTTTGTGGTGGGTTGAGTAAGAATACCCTCATAGGCTCATATATGTGAATGCTCAATCACCAGGGAGTGGAACTGTTTGATCATTAGAAAGATTAGTTAGAAGGTGTGGCTTTCTTGGAGAAGGTGTATCACCTGGGGTGGGCATTGAGGTTTCAAAAGCCGATGCCAGGCCCAGTCTTTTTGCCTGCTGGCTGTGGATCAAGAAGAAGAACTCAGCTACTGCTCCAGCACCATGCATGTCTGTTTCATACCATGATGATCATGAACTAACTCTCTAGAGCGTTAAGCAAGCCTCCAATTAAATGTTTCCTTCTGTAAATTCCATGGTCATGGTGTTTTTCATCACAACAATATAAAATTCACTAAGACAGAAGTTAGTAGCAGAGCCTGGGTGGGGCATTGCTGTGACAGGTTTGACCTGCTGTTTGTTAGAGGAACATAGAAGATCTGGAACTTCGAACTAGGGAATCAGTTGAACACTTTAAGTGGGCTTAATGGGCCATCCTACCAGTAGCATTGAAAGCCAGTGGTGTTGAGGCTGACATGGACTGTGGAGGCGAATCCAGAGGGTTTAGAGGGAAGAATATCAGCAGTTGATCTAGAGATCATTCTTGGGATATTTTGGTAAAGAATGTGACTGCTATTTGTCCTTGTCCTAAAAATCTGCCTAATGAGGCTAAATGGAAGTTTTGGCAGAGACTTCAAGACAGCCTCGTATTGACTGTGTCCTGTGGTAATTAGTGATCACCCTTGTGCTGATAGACAATAAAACAGAGCAAGTAGGGCAAAGAGAACTATGGAATGTACAGTTTAAGAAAAAGAGCACCAGGAAACGCCATCTTGTGCTCAAGGAGAAGACACAACTAAAGACAAACCTGAGACTACTTGGAATAAAGGGAGTGGTAACCTCAGGGCAAGATCCCACCCAGCTAATTCTGTGACCTGAGAAAGGTAAACGAGGGATTTTCTAAGCCTAAACAACAGAAAGCCTATGTGAGTGTAATTCAAGGAGACTAGTTTCTAGCCCAAGCAAGCAGAACAACTTAGCAGCTTTGGCCATGTGGTTCTGTAATTAGAATCAAGAAAGATAAAGAAAAGGAGTTGTACAGTCTTCCATGTTTAAGGAAAGCCACTGAGGCCAGGTGTGTGTCAGGGAAGTCCCTGAATGGAGGATCAGAGAGGCCATTGTTTGAAGCTGTGAAGGTGAAGCCTGGGCTGCTTTGGAGTCTCCAAGACAGTGGAAGTGACAAGAAGACCTGCAGACTGGGTGTGAACCAGCCTGAGAGAGAGAGAGAGAGAGAGAGAGAGAGAGAGAGAGAGAGAGAGAGAGAGAGAGAGAGAGAGAGAGAGAGA